CTAAGATAAACAGCCTCCAATGTCTGGTATTTAACATCTAAGCTGACGTTTGTGTTTCTATTTAAGTGTGGTTAACAATTAAGAAGTTAAGAGCTTGTTATTGGTTGGTCCCAAACTTTTTATAGGAAATTAATTATTCACAATCAGGTGTACTCTATAGTCAATTTTGTATGATTTGTAAAATAAATGATCGCATATTATGGTTCAAATCAACATTCACTGACTGAGAGTCACTTTTTGTGTCCATTCATTCTTGCCCTAAAGAAATGTTTATCCAAACATTAAAAGAGATCCTTGCCAAATAAATTACTCTTATAACCTTGTTATAAGAAGTGTAAGCTGACCCTTACAAATGACACTTGATGAGTAGTAGTTTGGTTTGATTTAATTATCCAAATCAGAATTACCGATTGTCGTACATATCCTCGCAACACCTTTATGACATAAGACTTTACCAGAGAAATATCAGGAAAAAGCATATTTTTCTATGCAATTTTAAGGGTTTCAGATATCAGATATTTGTCAACCAATGGAAGAAAAAAGAAACACAAAAACAAGGAAAATAAATAAAGACAGAAAAAATGTTGTGAAACTGAAAAATCCAAAGATCCTGGAGTACATCAGGAGGAAAGCCTCTAATGATGAATGCATGAATGTCTCAGGTAGCAAAACCAAATGTGGAAGAGACACAAGAGGAACCATCATGGAAAGACTCACCCCTGTACAGCATGGACCCCCAGAAAATTGAAGAAGTGACAAATCCTATCAGAATTTATAGAGGACTGGACTGAAGGACAGAGAGACACTACTCATGGCACTAATCAAGATACAACACCCAGTCAGGCAAAGCATACATGGAGCACCATGACCAAGTAGCTGGAATAATACCAGGAACATCAGTATGGACTGGAGGTCCTGATCCTAAGTGACATCAAGAAAAAAGGAGCACGGGAAGATGGAGTAGTAATACCAACTGTGCTGTGGAGAATCAAAGCAACAGTAGTCCCAATTATCACTGAAACTCTTGGTGCTGAGACCCTCAAACTGGAAGTGGCTCCAACAGATCCCAGGAACATCAGATATCTCTGTCCAGAAGAGCTCAGTCCTAGGGACATTTAAGATACTGAACAGAACGCTCAAAATTCCAGACCTCAGTTAGAAGACCTGCGTTTGATGTGAAAGAAACACTGCGGAATGGGCAGTCAGCAGGAACTTTAAAACATGATGGTACTGTCATGTGACAGCTGTAGAGTTATATAACATCAGTGTAAACCATTGGAAAGTTAAATGGCTAGATGGTTGATGACTGAAATCTTGAAAAATCTCTTTGCTGAAGCATTTGTTACCTGTGTCTCCTCAGGTGTTCTCCAGAGGTCGGACAGTGTCAGTGTTTACCCAACATGATCGGTCGGCGCTGCTCTGACCCGGCTCCTGGACATTTTCTGCCATCACTGAACTACTTCCTGTATGAGGCGGAGCTTGCTTCCCCACTGTCAGGAGGAATCTCCTCTTCTCCTCCTCCCCCTCCTTCATCCCCGCCTTCTCCCCTGGTTCGTATGAGACGGTATCAGATCCGGTTCACCTCTGATTCCTGATCCAATCCAAATATTTAAAATGACAAGTTTCAGGAAAAAAAAAAAACCTAAATCCACAATGTTATGTTCATTAATGGTTTCTATAGACTAGACTAGCCATAGCCTAAAGCTTGATGTCAATGTTTTTTTAATCGATGTTTAAACCAATTTAAGTCAGTCCTAAGTCAAATCAGCCTCATTGAAACATGTAAGAAAGTTTTGACTATAATAATGGGTTGCTACTTCATGTTAATGCGAGCTCTGTGTGTGATTAAAGTCAATTCAGTTTATTTATCTATAAAATTTACAATTAACAACAAGTCAGCTTTGTGAACTATGCAAAGAAGTACAAATAAATGATGTTTTGCCGAAAATACACCCAGATTAAATTCAATTAAAAACTTTCTACTCAATTTTATTTTATTCTATTTAATAAATTATTTATTATTTATTTGCATTGAATTTACTCAACAAAGTCATGTCATCTGGCTCCACTAAGCCTAGTTGAGTAAATTGAGCAAAGAATATACATATGTTGCCCAATTTATTAAACCTGGCTAGGTGGATCCAGTTTGGTTCAGTAAATTCAACCGTTTCTACTGAAGAAACTTTTACTTTTACTTTCCCAATTTTTGTGAASAGTTTTATGACTTTTACTTGAGTAGTTTTCTCATCAGTGAAATTTATTTTTATCAAAGTCATTTTCTGTTGTAATTTTACTTTTACGTCATTATTTTTTTCAAGTACTTTATAGACCTCTGTGTATGACTGACTACATGTGAAACCAATAATGCATAAATACTATTAAAAGTAAAAGAAAGAGAATTTTACTCACTTGTGATGAGTAGCCGCCATCTTGAATTCTGAACTCGTCCACTTTTTGGCAGGGAATTCCCACAGGAGTGGTGTTCCAGTTTCAATTTACAACTTGTATGTGGGTAATTCCCATTTCCAAGTACAATTGGGCCACAGCAAAAGTAACCATCAGGAATTAAGTAAAATGAAGACTTTACATGGCAAATTTTGTCTACTTTTGAACCTTGTGCACCTCCACCTAGTGGTGAGATGCCATCCTGAGATGCACTAGTTTATGGTCTGTGCTGTCTTTGAAGCAGCATACACGTTTTTAAAAGACATTAATACATTTTTGAAGTTCTCGTGGATCACTTGTGGTTCATGGGCCTTGTGTTTGACATGACCCAAATCATATTTTTCAAAGTCAGGTTCCTGGGTGAGGAAATAATTTAGACATCAGCATTGTGTTCTCATGGAGATTTTATTTTGCAGACCTTTGAAACAAAATCAATATCACCTCCCCCACTTCTGCCAAACCTATAACTTCAACAAGGACAGATGATAAAAGCTTGTGTTTTTGTTGCAGAAATTGTTAACTTAACTACAGCAAAACCTTTGTGTATAGTGTTACTTCAATGAACATACAAGGCTAATGAAAAATATTATTGGTTTGAAGAGAAAAAAAACATTGGTGGTCAGACCACTAGGGGGACTGAACTACTAACTCATACAGAACCAGACCCTCAGTAAAGACAAAGACATGCCAAAGTTGACTGTTAAAAAATAAAATAAATTAAAATAAATTTGAAGATTATGATCTTTGGAGAAAAATCAAAGCTCAGTGGTTCCCAGCCTTTTTAGAGTTGTGTGCCCCCTGAGCCATTTTGTCATATGACAATTGCCCCTTCAGTCAAACATAATGATGATTCTCCAAAACTATAATGTACTACAACTGATTATTAAATGAAAATTTCTTATTTAAACCCTAGAACATTTAATTCTCAGGCATTTTTATTTTTTTCGACTGAAATTAAACATAAAGATAAAAATGTTGCCTTGAAAGTGAATAAGTAATTAAATAAATAAACCAGGTAATGGCAGGTGCAGAAAACAGCAGCATCCAAAATACATTGTATTGTCCAAAATATGTCAGAAACTCACCCAGATGAGAAAATTCTGTGAGATTCCACGTTTTATACTGGATTCCATTTTGTGTTAATTCGTGATTCTGACTGCAGTTTCTGCATTGCAGAAATCACAGGGAACATGTCTACATATCTCAGTCMTATTTTTATTTTTATTTTTTGCACACCTGGGAATTTTTTCCATATACGCCCTGGAATATGCTCACGTGCCCCTGGTTARGAATCACCGTGGRCTGAAGGAACTGTCCAAGGTCCTGAAAGTGCTGGTATGTTTTAGGACTTTAGACCAGTGGTTCCCAACCTTTTTAGACTTGTGTACCACCTRAGCCATTTTGTCACACGACTAGTGCCCCTTCAGTCAAATGTAATGAGGATTTTCCAAAACTGTAATGTACTACAAYTGATTATTAAATGAAAAWTATTTATTTAACCCCCTAGAACAGTGGTGTCCAAAGTCAGTCCTCAAGGGCCGGTGTCCTGCATGTTTTAGGTGCTGCCCTGGTTCAACACAGCTGAACCTAAGGAGTGCTTAATTAGTAGTCTTCCTCAGTTTGCCATCAATATTTGCAGAGTCCCCCTGTAATATGCCAAATCTTAGATAGATCTAGTATATGATGGGTTTTGCCAATTAAGATCACTAAAAGTGGGAAGAATATTAAATTCTATTCTGAGTTCCACAGACAGCCAATGCAAAAATCCATTATTAAATTGATGTGGTTTCTCTGCAAATATTTATGTTCTGTTTGTTTRCATTTGGTGTGTTTCCAGGTTAATCCAGCCCTTTTACCTCCATGTGAGCATTACTTCAGAAGCCAAGGCTTTGACTTTAAACTCTCCAATGGAAGGGTGGTTTTGGTTCGAAGGACTCGTCACATCAGTCATGGAAGGAGACTGGTAAAGGTGAGATGTATTTCCTGTTGTAGTCTGACCAATGAGAGGCAGTTGTTTCATTCGCCCTGGTGTCTGTACAGAATGGAATCCCTCTTGACCCGGGCCATGCCCTGCAGATCATTCCCCGTCAGAGCTTAGCTGATCAGCCAGAAACCTGGACTGGCCTTGGATTTGTCAGAGTGATGGAAGGGGCGGGGCTTATATTCACTGTGGATAACCTGCCATCGTCGATGGAGTACCAGCTGGTGATCCACTATGAACCCCAGGTGACAAAAACCTTTAGGTGTTTCTGCTTGGGGTCCTGATTAACAACTTTTATAAGACAAATTAAGTTTTCAATTAAAAAGGGAAGTTTTTCTTTGTTTTCAGTTTTAAAATTTTTTAGACTTAAATGTGAGGTTTCCCCTGCTGATTTGTTTTTATTCTCCCTCTACAGGGTCTTTCTGATTGGCTGGCTACTGTTCGCATTGTCACTCTGTCTTCAGGTGATGGAGGCTGCAGTGACAACCCAACAGGAAGGAAAACACTGACTCTCCCTGGGACATCCAGGTGAGACCAGTAAACCATTTGTTTACTTCCACAGATGACTGTTCTCATGGAAATCACTATTTACAAACTGATTAAAATAAATGATTTGTTGTTTTAACTTCAAAAATTAAAATAAACCATCTGTCCTTCTAGTTAAGAAAGAAAAAACATCATTCAAATGAAGATATCTTTATCCGTTTATATTTTAATAAATCTGATTTCAGATGTTTAAAGTTTGACATTAAGACTGAATCGAGACAGTTTTAACCTGGATTGCCTTATAATAAGAAAAAAAAACTGAATTATAGGCTGTTTGGTCAAACTTTAAAAAAAACTATGTGCCAATTGGCAAGATGTGTTAGCACTCACAATATGTGTTAAGAATGACTCTCAGCTACCACCACTTCAAATTTTACCTCAATGTCTGTAGGCTGAATTATAGCCTATGATTTCTTAGTTGGCTGATGCAACCATGTTGGGATTACACTTAAYGCTAATTGAAGAAATTTATTGGGGTTTTTTTGCTACTGATTTTTAAAAGCACCACACAATATTCTTAGGTGAAACATGATATATTTTTATAAAATATTGTGTGAAGATTTTTGTGATTAAATTGATGATTTTTATGTACAGACTGGTCTGAGTGGCTATAAAATATGGTTTCCCAGGGCAGGAGGTACTGTTAGCTTAGATGGATGCCTGGAAACACTTACAGCACTTAATCGAACTGCTTTTTTAACACTAGGAGAGGAAAATATGTATGGGGACCTGATTTCAGCTGTAGGCTGGCCCATTTGAATGATGCAATGACAATAGGCAGAGTCAGGTTCTGAAGAAGGCTATAMAATTATCACTGCTTCCTGGATGCTTTGCTAAATGCACAGAGAAAGCATTAAATCCCGTGATTCAGTCCAGCGCACTGGTGTGGTTGTATGAATTCTTTTCACATTCAGCTATTCAAGTATTGGTGTATTTTCTATCTGGTTACGAACACATAATAAGGTAAAYGAACACGTCTACATTTCTATTCACTTAGATACAACTGAGAGTTTTATTAAAATCTGTCCAGTGGTTTATGATATGATGTTTGTTGAAGTAGAACCCAAAAGTGCCAAAGAAAAACTCAAGAAATTCTTAAAGTAAAAAAACAAAAACAAAAAACACTTTATTAAATGAAACAAGTTGTTCTGTCAGCAGAGGAAACACCTGGGGAGAGACACAAAGCTCAGGTTTTGTGGGACGGGGCCAGAGATCACGTAGAGTTCAGAGTCTAAGCTGGGGAATAGCCTCAGCTACTATYGCACCAAATCTGAGCTCAGTGTCTGTAAAATTATCGAGTTGCTCTGGTCGCTTAGCTGTGACGGCCGTCTTGAAATGTTGGCCAGTTGTAAATCTACGTCCAATGATCACTTTCTGAGAGTTTCATCCGTCACATTTAAAGATGAGCTGAGAATCACTTACAGCACAGAATCTGAACGTTCTTCCCAAGGTTTGACCTAAAAGCTCCAATTCCAGCTCAGCATTAAAAAATCTCAGTCTAAAACTCTGGCATGAAAAGCAGCGGGTGGTATCAGAATCAGARTAMTTTATTGATTGSCAAGGGAAATTACAATTATTACAGCTGCAACTGTTCAAGTAAAAAACTGGAAAATAAAAAAGCACACTAAAATAAAAAAAAGTATAAACACCCTGGAGAACATACAGTGTACAATAAAAATAAATAGAAATATTAACAAAAATATGAACAGCATGGCTGGGCGTGAAGGTCCCATAAGATGTTCTAAGATGATATAGGGAGAGATCATGTTAGGTACATTGCACATGTCTAAGTAAAGGATCAGATAAAATAAAATACAATGCACAGATGTAATAAAGTGACAGATGACCTAAGGTTTCACATATAAAGAGATGAGTTATATGGTTTGATGGCCACTGGAACAACTTCCTGTGTTGCTCAGTGGTGCATTGTGGTGGAGTCTTGCCCTGAATTTGCTTCTGTGACTCATAACTGTGTTTYAGAGAGGGTGAGAACCATTGTCCATGATTCCCTGCAGCTTTGACAGTATTCTCCTCTCTGACATATGAATTCCTTCAAGGAATTCTAGAGCTTTGATTTACTCTGAGGTCCAAATATCTACCCATCCTTTTACTTGTTGTTTTGTGTTTACGTACTCTTAGCATTTTTATTTCTTCTACAGATTAAGTATTCTGGACTCTGGGGTTTGTCTGAATGCAGGAGGTCAATATTTGGTGGAGATTATCTTTCATAAACAGCCAGGACCTGATAATTTGCCCATTCTGGTGGACTTGGTGAGGAACCATTTATGTGCTATCTTTATTATCTATTATACAGCACATACAGTGGGGGAAATCAGTACGTATTTGATCCCTTGCTGATTTTGCAAGTTTGCCCACTTACAAAGACAAGAACAGTCTATAATTTTAAGGGTAGGGTAATTTTAACAAAGATGGAATATTAAAAAAATCAGAAAATTACGTTGTATAAATTATATACATTTATTTGCATTTTGCAGATAAAAATGTCATTATTCCTGTTCATTGTTTCTTAGATGGGACTGGTCCAGAGAACTGAGTCAGTTCAGGACTTCTGCTCTCACAGGGATCTGGACTCTTTCCACCATTTCCACTGTGTTGGATTGACTGTCAGTCCTGGTTCTCAGGAGTCACCTGTAAAACTCTGTCAGGGTCTAATCCAGAGTCTGTCAGCACGGATCCACAATGGAGCCATTGGTAAGCAGTTAGGTCTAACTGTTCTAACTGTAATAGATATATTGCCATGTRTCTTATGAACACCAAGAGAAMCACCYTTTACCCCACCTGAACCTCCAGCTYAGCTCAAGACAGATTGTATTMAGATTATCAAAYGTATGCAGGTACAAAGGGTCCAGACTACCTTAGGTTTGTCTGAACACAGTCRCATCAGATCAGTAGGAGGTCCAACTATGATCAGGATGGACTATGTTCAGACTAGCAAACTTTTGTATCTGCATACATTTGATAATCTGAAAACTACGTCTGGGTAAAAAAAAGTCTGCTTATTAAAGAAAATTAATGTGTTCTTTGGGAATATTCTAAAGTATGGCATTTTCGTTGACTTGAAGAAGGAATAGACCTTTTGCACATTTCTCTTATAATGCCACACGGGGTTTTTGCGCTTTCACCAGAAGCAGGGGGGATCGTTAATTTTTTCCAATGATGCAATCGGGAAAAGTGACTTTTGTAGTGTGTATAATTGTTCGAGGCAACGTGACAGAGTCAAAGATAAAAGAGAAGCTTGCTCCTTTTACGAAATTCCTCTAGGAAAATCAAGCAAAGCTGCTATGAGAAGAAAGCTGTGGCTCAATGCGCGTCGCTGTCATGACTTCAYTCCGATGAAAAACAWTAAAGTGTGTAATCAGCATTTTGTTTCTGGCATGGAAATTAATGATCCAAACTCTGTGGATTGCGTTCCTGTGCCACATCTTGGATATACAAGACAGACAAAGAGAGAACAACCTCCCGCAGCAAACGATAATCCTACTGGACAGATGAAGAAATACCATGTGAGTTAAACGTCATCAAAACACGTGTGTGTTTGTGAAGTTAACCATCCATGAATGTGTGTCTCTAAACATAACACAACAGCTAAACAGTAAACACCAGTAAACTAGATGGCTCTCACCGACTTCAACATCCTTGTCTCGGCGATYGTCTTCTTTAACACGGTGGCCCCCCTCGACAGTTGCTTCACATTGACAACCTCTCAGATCTGTGGCACACTTTTCAGGGGTTTTGTCCATTGGTTGTCCACAATTTTCCAAAACCACGTGACATTACAACTCGCCATCATCACCTCGATCTTTTAAAGGGATCCGAGCTTAGCCTGTTAGCCTTTGCGCTAGTGCTAACGATATATGGCCTTATATGTATTAGCTGGGCGCTAGCGCGAAAAACAAGCTAAACTGAGGYCCTCCATCCACATTTTCAGTTGCAGGCTGAGTCATTTTTGTGTTCCCCTCTCTGTCATGTGGATGGAGGACCTCAGTGACAAGAGGAGAATGTGTAGCGCTGAGCTACATATATATGGTGATAGCGTCGGTGCTAACGCTAAAGCTAAAAGGCTAAGCTGAGGTTCTTCTTCCATGAAGCAGCTCTGTTGTCCTCCATCCATATTTTCAGTTACAGGCTGAGTCATTTCTACCTTCTCCTCTCTGTCAACGCTCTCTGGTTTCATTTAAGAGTCGATCATCAGATATTGTCCAAGATTAACCTTCAGGGTGGATATAGCTCGCTAGCAGCCTCGCACCGAGGACCTATCCACGTCATCATTTACCCAGAATGCTTTGCGTGTAAATAAAATGTCCCCTTCTGTGTAATATATTTTTAAACTTTTAGTTTAAAAATAATAACAACTGAATATCCTACAGTATTTTTACAGTCTTTATTTTACAGTTAAAATATATGTTTATCAAGTAAAGGTAAATGTTACAACTAATCATGGATCTCTTTAATTTATATTCCCCCCACTTCTGAATTTTGCAGGCACGTAGCATTTCGCCATCCAATGAAAACGTACGCTTCATGCCTGCTTTGGAATGTGCAAAAGGTCAATTGGACCGTGTTCCAGAGGAGCTGGAAGAGTGTGTCCCAAATGGCTCTTTGTGAAGAAAGTGACTCACCTTCACTGTTACTGTCTGGGTGTCAGCTTGCAGATGCAACGTCCTTGGTTCTGTTGGACCAGCCTGCAGGAAGCTGGGAGGGTTCTGTRACTGTAAACCTAACGTGATTGGTCGCTGCTGTGATTCCTGTGCTCCGCTGACGTTTGGATTTGGACCTGAAGGATGTAAAAGTAGGAACAATGCTCTGATGCGCAGCTCCTCTGAAACGCGGAGTGAAAGACGTCAGTAAAAATGTTTTTGTCGTTGCAGGATGTGAATGTGATCCTCGAGGCTCGACGTCAGATCTGTGTGATCAGCTCAGTGGTCAGTGTGCATGTCAGTCACACGTAACGGGCCAACGCTGTGATCGCTGTCAGCCCGGGTTCTGGGGGTTCCCAAGGTGTCGACCATGTGAATGTAACAACCTGTCAGAAACATGTGATGAGACGGGACAGTGTCAAAACTGCAGGGAGCACGCCACTGGACCACACTGTGATAGGTTGCACTCCCAAAAAAACAACACATTTAGACCTGTTAACTTCTCATTAATGATCCTTCAAAGTGAACATGTTCTGGTTCTGATGATCCATCTCTGTTGCTGCTGTAGGTGCGAGAATGGTTACTACGGTGATCCGGTCACCAGACAGCCTTGTCAGCCCTGCCTGTGCCCAGACGATGTCARCAGTGGGCGATTCTTTGCTGCTTCCTGTCACCATGACGTACAATCCCTCAGAGTGACGTGYCACTGCTGGGAGGGCCACACAGGTAAGTTCTGACTGTGTGGGTCACCTGGTTTGTCGGAGATCATGTTCAAGTTTAAGTTCTGTAGGAGCACAAGAACAGGTTCTGTAGTAGGTAAGGCAGAAATGTGGTGCAGTGGTTAGAGCTGTCGCCTCACAGAAAAAAGCTGCAGACTCGGCTCCCACCTGGAAGCTTTCTGTGTGGAGTTTACACAATCATGATGTGTTGTTTCCTGGGTGAGTCTGGCTCCCTCCCACCGACCAAAAACACACACTTTAGATCAGGGGTGCCCAACCAGTCGCTCGCGGGCGACTGGTCGCCCGCCAGCTGGTTCCCAGGTGCCCGTGAAGCGCAACCTTGATGCAGAGCCTCTAGCGCCGGCTCTGAGCGTCAGATCTCAGAGTGGCTGGTTTTGTTTGGCTCTACAAGGTCAACGTTGAATGAAGTCCCTGTGACGTTCCTCCGCGGAGCTATAAGTGAAAAACCTCCAAAATTACGCACCGTCGGACCTCCACTGGGGGTGGTTTTAGCCCCCTTCCCAGGCTAGGAGTATCAGATCCCGTAATGGCTGGTTGGGTTTTAAAGCTCTGGTTCTGACCTACAAGCTGATACTTGAATGGAGTCTCTATGGCATTCCCCCGCGGAGATATAAGCAAATTACTCACGACTTAGTCCATTTTACGCGCATTTTCGGGAGGAAATTTCAACATTCCTTTGCTACTCCCGCGGGCTCTGAGCATTGGATCCGGGAAAGTGAGATGAATTTGGAAAGCTACGGTCCTCCTCTAAAAACTGGAGGTGGTTGTAGGTTCCTGGGATGTTCCCCCACGGAGCTATTAACCAACAACCTGTCGAAAAAGGCACTTTGGCGGGCGATAAACTCAATTTACTCCGGAGCCTCTATCGCCGGCTCTGAGCGTCGGACCTGGACGCGAAGGAAGAGGAAGAGAGGAAGGAAGAGATCCAGTGAGGTGGAACCACGGTCATGCATCCAATACCCGCTCTCCCGCCTGGATTTAGCCAGAAACCCCTGGCGGTCGATATTTCTGCAAAAATGCATAAAATTCAGAAACCCACCTGATGGATCTGTTCCAGGCAATAAAAGGAACAGATTTGGTCAGGTGAAACTGGTCCTGGAAGCTCAGCACTGGGTTTTATAGCTGCCTGCGAGAGAATTTTATATTGTGTGCTTTGACTTTGAAAAAAAAGGGCAGTACTCTTGTGGTAGCCATGTTGACCCTGACAGTTTTTTTTTGTTTTGTTTTTCCTCCCCTGTATGGAGAGAAGAGAGGAGAGTTCTTTGAATAAATGGACACGGGTTCCCGTGCTCCAAAGTTATTTGACTCTGTGGTTCTCTCACTGGAAAGGGTTTCCAGCCCACATAGCTCACACGTTACAGGGAGTACTAATTGAAGGACATAAAAACAAAAATGGTACTTTTTGTTCAAGCATCACTTTTCTGTTTCTCTGTCAGGAGTTAAATAAGGATTTTATCTTTTCTTTGTTTTGTAGGTAAATATATGGTTAAGCAGTTAGTTTTGTTTGACAATACTTTAAATTAAATAAAACTAGCAACACATTACGTTCTGTTTTATTTACTTTAAAGAAGTGAGGAGTAGGGAGACAAAATTATATTTTTTGATACTGAGACTGGACGAGTAGCTCTCGGCAAAGTGCCGACTTCAGAAGTAGCTCTTGGTTCAAAAAAGGTTGGGTACCCCTGCTTTAGATTCAATTTACATCTGTGGTGTCAAACTCACATTATGGTGGCCCTCTAGCCAGTTGCAAGTAACTTCAATGTTTCGTGTTTAACTTCAACTAACATTATTATTATTATTATTATTATTATTATTATTATTATTATTATTATTATTATTATTATTATTGTTTTGTGATAGGAAATTTCCACTGCAGGTGTGTTTCAGTGTAAATTTACCATTACATCTGGGCCACAACAGCATTAAACAGCAGCCAGGGTATGTGCTGTGTAAAGTCTCCATTTCGTTGCATTTTCACCAGTTACCAGCTGTTTTTGAACCCTGTGCAACTCCACCTAGTGGTGGGATGCTGTCATTTTGTGGATAAAATAATTGATATGCATTATGGGAGATGCAGTTTATGGTCAATTCTGGCTTTAAAGTAGCATGCACTTATTTCAAGACAGTACATCACATGTGCTCTAAAATGTTCCTAGGTAAGAGAGAGAGGGTGAATGGTGGTTTGTCCCTGTGTCCCTGTGATGGACTGGAGACCTTGTCTAAGTGTTCTCCACCTTTCACACAGTAACTGCTTGAGATAGACACCAACTCCATATGACCTGGAAAGGAGAAAGCAGTTAAAGAAAACTGATGAATGGATAGAGCTCTGTTACAGTTTCTGTGAGCTCTGGACCAGGATCTCTTGTACAGATTTGTAGGGACTCAAGGTACAAGTTCCACAAAAGCTTAGGCACTCTTTCATGCTCCATGGAAGTTCTGATTCAGGTTTGACACAAGTGTGGTAKAAGTACAGGTTTTGTGGGCAATCTGGTTCTCTGGTGTTTGTTCTGTAGAAGCTCTGGTAGGTTCTCAAATGGTTTACAGTCAACTCAGGTTCCTGGAAGGCTTCCTATTCAAACTGAAAAACAGAAGAAACTGGGAATGAATGTGTTAAACTTCTGCTTAAAGTGTAAATAACCCTTCTGTGAAAGCATAACCCCACCCCTAGGCAAATTTGAAAAAATGCCAACAGAGTGGGTGGAGTCAAGAGATTGTAGCTGCGTTTCCATTGACCATGAAAATGTGCAAATTATAATTTCGAAAATAAACTTGCTTAATGGAAACAGGTCAGTTTAGAAAAAATGTAAGTTTTTCGACAAAATGGTTTTGCGCTAAGATGAGGTGGTTTTTCAGSCGTATCGAAATTGGTGTATTCCGCAAAACTGCAATGGAAACGAATTTTTCAACCAAATGTTTCTACTGGTGCAAAAGACGAAGAAGAAGATGACAACAGGAAGTAGAAGTAGTAGTAAAATTTCAGAAGTAGTAAAATATACGCAGTAGTAAACTCACTACCTACAATTTCCCAAAGACGCCGCATACGTAGCCACTCCCAAGTATAAGGGGCTTGTCACTCAAAAGCCTCGATAAGACGCTGACATCTCCTCTGATGATGAGCGCTAGTGTCATGGTAGCAATTTGTTATGTTTTTACATCCATTGCCATCATGTTTGTAATGACATATCGCAAGAAAAAACATATTCACGCGTGACTTTAATAGCATTTCTTACTTAATGGAAACACCGCAATTGTGAAACTGTGTTTTTCCGATATTAACACAATATCGACAAAATTTTGCGCACATTTGCAATGGAAAAGCAGCTACTGATGGGCACGGCCAGGTGTGGGGATGAGCGAGGAGGTGTGGTCAAGTCAAGGAAATGTGACAGCTAGCTTAATTTGACAAGCTAGCATTTYTGAAAACAGGTCTAGTGTGCTCCAGATGCAAAAAACGTACTGAAAACAGCTTTTTATAAAAGTTACACAAATCAAAGGTTTCACAAATCACAAATTTGGTTTTAAATATTTTTGCAATAATCCAGTACAGGTTTGACGTGTCTAAGTATTTTTGTTTTTAAACTAGAACAGATTAAAAAGTAAGTTAGTGAAAATTTAGGTGGACTTACCTTTTAGCCATTTCCCAAATCAGAATCTTCAGCTTTGTGTAGCTCAGTAATGATAAACTAGCAGAATTAAACATCAGTAAACAAATTTATTACAGAGGGAGTATTGAAGATGACGTGGAACGGCAAATTTGTAGTTTGTTTAAAAAATATTGAACCACGAATATTATCGTTAAATAAGTTAATTCAGTTTGATTTGTGATATGAGGCAGACGTCCATGTCTGCCTTACATCAGATCGCGTTGTTCCTTAATTGCAGCTGCTTTTCTTCTTCTACATGGCTCTTTTCCTCCCTCTGCCTGCTTCATTTCTGAACATGTACGTGTGGGGAACCGGCCAGCTTCTCCACTGAAACACAGAGTAACCGGAGTGACACTTTTAGATTTTTTTCACTCCCCTCCTCACTGGAAGTTGAGTTGGTCTCAACCCTATTGAATCGAGCCGCATGGCTCAAGGCACTGACTCAGTGATGCATGAAGCCGGTGCTGCCATGAGGACAGGATGGGTCCAGTTTCTGAGTGTTAGCAGCATCAATGTTAATATGGGCTAATGTTCAAAACAGTATATTTATAAATATAATATCTAAATTACCTTTCATGTCGAAGATTTTAGAAAGGGCTGTTTTTAGTCAACTTCAGTCCTTTTTAGATTCTAATGATGTTTGTGAAGAGTTTCAGTCTGGTTTTAAATCTCGTCATAGTACTGAGACAGCACAGGGTTTTTAACGATCTTCTTTTGACTGTTGATTCAGGTAGCCCTGTTGCTCTAGTTCTTTTAGATTTAACTGCTGCCTTTGATACAGTTGATCACAGCATCCTTTTATCCAGACTTGAACATGTTGTTGGTCTTGAAGGCTCAGTTTTAACATGGTTCAGGTCATACTTGGCTGACAGGTCTTTTTCCGTTTCTTTGGGGGAATACACTTCTTCATCTACTCCGATTTGCTGTGGTGTACTTCAAGGTTCTATTTTAGGACCTATTTTTTTTGTTTGTACATGCTGCCATTGGGATCAATTTTTAACAAGCTCAAAATATATTTCCATTTTTATGCTGATGACATTCAAGTTTATTATTCTTTTGATTCAAATGTCTCTGCCCCTCTGCAGTCTCTTTTAAATAGTCTCCAGGATGTCAAAGACTGGTTAACCCATAATTGTCTGACTCTAAATGAAGACAAAACTGATGTTATTTTATTTGGCAATTATCCTCCTCTTGACAGTTTACCTGGTTTCCTTGGCTCACTTGCTCCCTATTGCTCATCTGTGGTCAAGGATCTTGGAGTGTTTTCAGACAGTACTTTTAAATTTGAGAAACAAATATCTTTAGTTGTTAAAACCAGATTTTATCAGCTCTGTCTAATTGCCAAAGCAAAATCTTGCATTCTGTTATGATTCTGTCCCTGTCTGCTCAGATCATGCCTCAGTTTAGTTTAATTATCTTATTTCATGTTCCAGTTTCTCCTCATAGTCTTGTTCCCAGCCTCTCAGCTCACATCCAGCTCCTGTTCATTGCTCTCGCCCCTCCCGTCATAGAAACCCTAATCGAGCTCATTTCATTCACCTGTTTCCAGCAGTATATAATCCAGTCTCACTCTCCAGTTCACTGCCAGATTATCATCAGCCTCGTTTATGATCTTCCAGCGTTCTTGTCTCTTGTCCTGCTCTTGCCTCATGTCCCCGACCTTGCTCATGTCTCCTGGTTTAACGTCTCCTGCCTCAGCCCCTGTCGGATCCCGCCTGCCATCTGCTCTCATGGTAACGATCTTTTTTCTGTCTCTTGGATTATTGTCACTCGCCTGCTCCCTGAACTGAACCACGCCACATCGGACCTCCTGGATCTCGACCCCTGAACGCTTCTCTGGACCAACGACTCAGTCATCTCCTTCAACCCTGGTAACTTCCTCTGACCACCTGTGTATGACCCTTGCCCCATTTCTGACCCTGAGYAAGTCCAGCGATATTATTGCTCCTCTTGACAACACAGCCCGGAACTAAAACGCATCAGTTGTTGTTTCAACCCGGACTTCAACTCAGCAGGAAAGGTTGGTTACTCTCTTTTTCACAAATAAGATTGTGTTCACGACTCAGCCTAACCCAAAGCTTCTGTGTTCAGAACTGACGACCCCGGAGTCTGGTTCCAACCTTCCAGCCGAAAATTCTAACAAACTTGTTAAAACTTTGACATTGTTCGGTATTTATTCAGAGCTCAAAATGCAAACCGTAACACATTCCCCACAAAGACCTTGAAACTCTTATCCATGCTTTTATTACATCTAGACTGGACTGTTGCAACTCTTTATATGTTGGTTTGGAACAATCGTCTCTCCATCACTTGCAATTAGTCCAGAACGCTGCTGCGCGTCAACAGGTTCTAGAAGGCTGGACCACATCACTCCTGTTTTATCCGACTTGCACTGGCTGCCTGTTTGATTTCGTATTGATTTTAAGATTCTTTTACTTACGTTTAAAGTTTTAAATGGTCTGGCACCCAGTTATTTATTGGCCCTGATGTGCTTTTATACCCCACACAGAGAACTGAGATCTTCTAATCAGATGCTTTTAGTGCAGCCAAAGGCAAAACTAAAGCGAAGAGGGGAACGGGCTTTTGCTGTGGCGGCCCTCAGACTCTGCAACCACTTGCCTCTTGAGATCTGTACTGCAGAGTCTGTTCAGTCTTTTAAATCTGGCTTAAAAACTCACTTATTTTAAACTGGCTTTTAATTCAAATTCAGTTTGAGCTACCTCAGGAATTTGTAATTTGTGTCTTTTATTTGTGTCTTTTATAAGGTGGCAGCCCTCTCCTTGGGCTGCTACCTTATCGTGGTGGAGGGGTTTGAGTGTCCCAATGATCCTAGGAGCTATGCTGTCTGGGGCTTTATGCCCCTGGTAGGGTCACCCATGGCAGACAGGTCCTAGGTGAGGAACCAGACAAAGCGCAGCCCGAAGACCCCTTATGATGTCAAAAAACACGTCCAGCCCCTCTCAAGGAGACTGGTTCCAGAGACTTCCGCACGGCTTCGAGGCGATTCTGGTCCACCATCCGGCGTCTCAGGAGGGGGAAGCAGTGCAGCACCAACAC